CATGACTAAGCAATGTGTGAGGCATCTCTCAGACCAGTACAACCAATGGCTGACCATCATGACTAAGCAGTGTAAGAGGCAACTCTCAGACCATTACAATCAATGGCTGACCATCATGACTAAGCATTGTGTGAGGCATCTCTCAGATCATTACAACCAATGGCTGACCATCATGACTAAGCATTGTAAAAGGCAACTCTCAGACCATTACAACCAATGGCTGACCATCATGACTAAGCAATGTGTGAGGCATCTCTCAGACCATTACAATCAATGGCTGACCATCATGACTAAGCATTGTGTGAGGCATCTCTCAGATCATTACAACCAATGGCTGACCATCATGACTAAGCATTGTAAGAGGCATCTCTCAGACCAGTACAACCAATGGCTGACCATCATGACTAAGCATTGTAAGAGGCATATCTCTCAGACCATTACAACCAATAGCTGACCATCATGACTAAGCATTGGAAGAGGCATCTCCCGGCCATTACAATCAGTGGCTGACTATAGTGACTAAGCATTGTGTGAGGCATCTCTGAGACCATTACAACCAATGGCTGACCATCATGACTAAGCATTGTAAGAAGCATCTCTCAGACCATTACAACCAATGGCTGACCATCATGACTAAGCATTGTGTGAGGCAACTCTCAGACCATTACAACCAGTGGCTGACCATAGTGACTAAGCATTGTGTGAGGCATCTCTCAGACCATTACAACCAATGGCTGACCATCATGACTAAGCCTTGTAAGAGACATCTCTCAGACCATTACAACCAATGGCTGACCATCGTGACTAAGCATTGTGTGAGGCAACTCTCAGACCATTACAACCAATAGCTAACCATCATGACTAAGCAATGTATGAGGCATCTCTCAGACCATTACAACCAATGGCTGACCATCATGACTAAGCATTGTAAGAGACATCTCTCAGACCATTACAACCAATGGCTGACCATCATGACTAAGCATTGTGTGAGGCAACTCTCAGACCATTACAACCAGTGGCTGACCATCATGACTAAGCATTGTAAGACGCATCTCCCAGACCATTACAACCAATAGCTGACCATCATAACTAAGCATTGTAAGATGCAACTCTCAGACCATTACAACCAGTGGCTGACCATTATTGCTAAGCATTGTATGAGCCATCTCTCAGACCATTACAACCAATATCTGACCATCATAACTAAGCATTGTAAGAGGCAACTCTCAGACCATTACAATCAATGGCTGACCATCATGACTAAGCATTGTATGAGGCATCTCTCAGACCATTACAACCAGTGGCTGACCATCATGACTAAGCAATGTGTGAGGCAACTCTCAGACCATTACAACCAATGGCTGACCATGGCTAAGCATTGTAAGAGGCATCTCCCAGACCATTACAACCAATGGCTGACCATCATGACTAAGCATTGTATGAAGCAACTCTCAGACCATTACAACCAGTGGCTGACCATCATGACTAAGCATTGTATGAGGCATCTCTCAGACCGTTACAACCAATAGCTGACCATCATGACTAAGCAATGTGTGAGGTATCTCTCACACCATTACAACCAATGGCTGACCATCATGACTAAGCATTCTAAGAGGCAACTCTCAGACCATTACAACCAATGGCTGACCATCATGACTAAGCAATGTGTGAGGCATCTCTCAGACCAGTACAACCAATGGCTGACCATCATGAATAAGCAGTGTAAGAGGCAACTCTCAGACCATTACAATCAATGGCTGACCATCATGACTAAGCATTGTGTGAGGCATCTCTCAGATCATTACAACCAATGGCTGACCATCATGACTAAGCAATGTGTGAGGCATCTCTCAGACCATTACAATCAATGGCTGACCATCATGACTAAGCAATGTGTGAGGCATCTCTCAGATCATTACAACCAATGGCTGACCATTATGACTAAGCATTCTAAGAGGCAACTCTCAGACCATTACAATCAATGGCTGACCATCATGACTAAGCATTGTGTGAGGCATCTCTCAGATCATTACAACCAATGGCTGACCATTATGACTAAGCATTGTAAGAGGCATCTCTCAGACCATTACAACCAATGGCTGATTATCATGACTAATTAAAATACCCCAAAATTAATTTTTTGACAGGCTTAGTATGTTTTTAATGTAATTTTATAATCTTTCATTGCATGTCACAAAATTTATAAATACTTAATCATATTATTGGTCCTAACAGCTTCGATTTGTGTATACATGTACTAGTACTTTTGACAACAAATTGATTTTTTTGATTTCTTTAATGAATTTCAATTATTATAGCAGTTGAATCAAAGCCAATTGACAAGTGCAGCATGCATTGATACTTTGTATGTGTGTTATTTGAAATGTTCCCATGAAAACTTCCTATTTCAGTTAGAATTTCTAAATATTCTAAAAAAATATATTTTGATAGGAAGGTGCATCTGACTTTCTTACTTCTGCAGTCATCGATGACGTGATCCAGTGTCGTTTTGCACGTCAGAAATTATTGCCAGCTGAGAGAAGAAAGAGGGAGACAACATTTGATTTGAGTTCTGATTATTACATGTTCATAGCTAGAGGTCCCAAATCTTCTGGTAAGTGTATTTATTTCTTTTATTTTGACTGATTTGTTGCAAGTTTCTATTTCACTGGATTTTATTTCTAGTGATTCATTTGCAGTGATGTTTACTAATTGATAATTCAAGAGATCATTAATTTGCCAACAAATATCTACCAATTTTGTAAATTTTGTCAGACTCATGAAAGTCATGTCTTCAACAAAATTCAGCAGTGAAAATCAAGTACCATAAATTGAGCCATTATTTACATTCTCATGGGTAGTCTAATTTAGAAAGTATTTGTTGTATAAGTTCAAATGAATTGAATGAATAACGGTAGCAGTGAAATCTTTACACAAACATAGTATTTGTGAGCATAAATAATGTGCATATTAAGAACCACATCGCAAAAGACCACCAATCGTCATTTGTCATAGTGAAGACATATTATTTTTGCAGGTTCACTGAATAAGCATATTGATATTCCAATCAAATCGGCTGATAAGATTGACTACACATCAACCAATGTTGTCACTGGGGTTGCAGGAGTAGATCCCAAACTGAAATCTCATGGTAAGTCACATAACCTAATTGTCAGATTCAGGTCAATCATGCTCTAATAATAATAAGATCAAGTTAGTGAGTCACATGACATCTGTTTGTGTCTAGTGAGTCACATGACATCTGTTGGTGTCCAGTGAGTCACATGACATTTGTTGGTGTCCAGTGAGTCACATGACATCTGTTGGTGTCCAGTGAGTCACATGACATCTGTTGGTGTCCAGTGAGTCACATGACATCTGTTGGTGTCCAGTGAATCACATGACATCTGTTGCTGTCCAGTGAGTCACATGACATCTGTTGGTGTCTTAGTGAGTCACATGATATCTGTTGGCGTCTTAGTGATTTACATGACATCTGTTGGTGTCTAGTGAGTCACAGAACATCTGTTAGTGTCTAGTGAGTCACATGATATCTGTTGGTGTCTAGTGAGTCACATGACTTCTGTTAGTGTCTAGTGAGTCACATGATATCTGTTGGTGTCTAGTGCAAAACATGACATCTGTTGGTGTCTAAGTGAGTCACATGATAGTGTCTTAGTGAGTCGCATGACATCTGTTGATGTCTAGTGTGTCACATGACATCTGTTGGTGTCTTAGGGAGTTACTTGACATCTGTTGGTGTCTTAGTGAGTCACATGACATCTGTTGGTGTCTTAGTGAGTCACATGACATCTGTTGGCGTCTTAGTGATTTACATGACATGTGTTGGTGTCTAGTGAGTCACATGACATGTGTTGGTTTCTAGTGAGTCACATGACATCTGTTGGTGTCTAGTGAGTCACATGACTTCTGTTTGTGTCTAGTGAGTCACATGACTTCTGTTTGTGTCTAGTGAGTCGCATGACATCTGTTGGTGTCTAGTGAGTCGCATGACATCTGTTGGTGTCTAGTGAGTCACATGACATCTGTTGGTGTCTAGTCAGTCACATGACTTCTGTTGGTTTCATGTGAGTGACATGACATCTGTTGGTGTCTTGTATGTGAGTGACATGACATCTGTTGGTGTCTAGTGAGTCACATGACATCTGTTGGTGTCTAGTGAG